AGGACCTCGCCCATAATCGACCAGCCTGAGAAGAACAGGGAAGACTGATGCCGTAATCTACGAAGCCACATTCGATTCCTTTATGGCCTTCATTATCTTTCATACCTCCAAACACACAGCATACACCGCGCCAAATAGTCTCGCTGACGATGATCACACTGTTAATGCCCCGCCACCTTTGATCACTGACACTATTTTTCCTACCGCAAGTCTCTCTTCGATCCCAGCGACGACGACCTCCAACGACGCCATCTCCTCCGTTCTCATCACCGCTACGACTATGTATCTTTGACGCCCCGTCCACCGCTATAGTCATCTTCACCACCCCCTTTATCGGTAATGAGGACTCTATTCTAACCCGTCGTCATTGCGAGTCAGCGCCCTGAGCAGAGACATGCAACAGATACCACTGCCTTCATTGCTCTCGCGCATTTGGGCACCGCATGATTCTGCTCGGTCAAATGCGCATTCACAAAAGTGGGGATGACGGGCAACACCAGAAGCGATGGCGACGTTGCGCGGTTGATTTTCAAGGTCTTCGTGTGGAATCGCCACAGCCTTCAAATTTAAACCAAACTGAAGATGAACAAGACCATAATCTCGATGGCATTCCTGTACGGAGCCGAGACTTGTATATTCTAATCGTGCCACATCAGGAAGTTGAACCACTTTTATTCCAGGTGCCTCTGTGGAAAACTGAAGCTGAGATGGTAAGAACTTCTGAAGCGAACCCTCAGCATCCAAGCAGTGCTGAGACAAGTGGAACTGCGAAGGAACGACTATCTGGTGGGAATGAACTAGGAGCGACTGCCTAAACAACTCTCCTATAGAGATTTTTCTACGGTTGCTTGTTGACAATGAAGACAAAAAAACGACATTAAAAGGACACTTTCTTCGGCGATTGAAAATCAACTCGGCGACCTACGAGGACCTCGCCCATAATCGACCGGCCCGGAGAAGAGCATTGAAGACTGATGCCGTAATCTACGAAGCCAACTGAATCATCACTGCCATGGACAATTCAGGACTCAAAAGTCACAAGGCCTCGAATCCACATCGTCAATAGCCAAACCCTTCCAGCATGCCTACGCTGCCAATGCACATTCTGCGCGCAGATCAGCCTCTTCGGACTTTTGCGTACACAATAAAGCAGCACTCAGACAACATTGAATTTGTCTTCCACGGTTGCCTCCACTGCCACCCCTGCCTCCAACCCCACAGCATCCACGGCGCCAACTAATCTCACTGCCAATGCCCGCCACCATTGATCACCGACACCATTTTACCTACCGCAAGTCTCTTGTCAGTCACGACGACGACCACCGATGGCGCCATCCCCACCTCCCCCCTCCGTTCTCATCACCACTACGACTACATTTGACGTCCCGCCCACCGCTATGGTCATCCCCCCCCTCCGCACCAGCAACCAGGACTCGATTCTTATCCCCTACGTCATTGCGAGTCGGCGCCTATAGCACAGACTAACAGCATATATGGCTGCCTCCACTGCTATCGTGCATTTACGCACCACGTGAGCCTACTCGGTGAAATGAGCATTCACGAAAACGGAAAGTATGTCGCTGTCGGGGCTCTGGGTGTGTTCTTTGAGCTGCCCTTTTTCCTCCCTTTATTCGCGTGTAAATTTTCTTATGTGTACATAGGTTGGTCGGCTTACTTAGCCCATTAGAAACCGACTTTTATCCCTCTTTATTTATTTGAACTACAACGACGTCATGAGTGCACAAGATCACTACGCTAGCGCGCCGTTTTGAAAGCAGTCTAAGTTGGCCCATAACTGTCAACTATTCCAAGGAAATTTATCTACGATGTCGAAAATTGCAGCCATTGACGATTATTGATTACTTTTGGGTCCCCGGTGTTGTGAATTTGTGCGCCTAATTTTACAGATTTCGAATAGAGGATGTTTTTTTGCTGAAAATTTTGGAAAGATTTTTTAAATAAAGCGTATCCCTCTCTCTCGTTCGGCTGCCAACGTCTTCCAACCGGTTCTCCAATTGAAACACTGTTTCTCCGGAAGAAATTCTAAAAAGGCAAAGATCACGAGATTGGCAGAATTTATTGACGTCATAGAATTTCGCAACCTCTTATTAAACTGCAAACGGTCACTACCAATTACCTGGATCATGTGATCAACTTCGCATTGCCGTGGTTACGAGCGATAAACCCATTCGCTCTCACGCCCCCTCCCTCTCCCTTGTGACCGACTGTTGCCCTGTCCTTTGCCTTTGCCCCCCCCCCTTTAATCAGGCTTGACAGACTTTCACTGTAATGTGAACTACCCTGCTGT